TATGTGTGTGAGACTATATTTATGCATGTGTGTGAAACTACCCTTTTCAACATCCAGATGAATCTATTTCAACATCCACCCTATTGCAACATCTAGATGAATCTATTCCAGATGATCAAAATAAAAGTTGAAGATCTTGACGAGTTATACAACTTTTATATTCATCACCTTTACAGCTGGAATAATTTAGTGGTTGAAAATAAGGTTTGAAGTTGTTATTTTCAAAAATTTCAAAATTTGAATTGTTCAAAATTAGTGGCAAAGATAGATGACCAGACTAAAATGATAGAAAATGATTTTAGAAAATTTTAGGAAAAAAACCATCACATTTAGAGTTAGTATGAGGAAGAAAAACTAGTTACAAGTTTCAGTCACAGATTAAAAAGAAAACACACTTGTTCATCATTGATCATCATGAACAACTATGATTTTTCTTTTTAATCTCTGGGTAAAATTTGTAACTAGTCTGTCTCTCTCATACTAACTCTAAATGTGATGTTTTTTTCCTAAAATCTTCAAAAATCATGCCCTATCGAGTTACTATGTTGATTTGATCATTCTTTTCGTTTGACAAAGTTTGAGAATTCAAAATTTCAAATTTAAAAAAATGACAAGTTCTAACAAGATTTTGAAACACCAAATGATTTCAGCTGAAAAAGTGATGAATACCAAAGTTGTATAACTCATCAAGATCTAAAACTTTTATTTTGGTCATTTCTTTATCTGACAAAGTAATAGTAAACATTGTTCACAAATCAACATGTCTCGTATAGTTTATGAAACTATGAGTGATATGTGGATTTGTGAACAATATTTACTAACACTTTATTAAATGAAGAAATGATCAAAATAAAAGTTATAGATAGTGATGTGTTCCAACAACTTTTATGTTCATGACTTTTCTAGTTCAAATCATTTAAGGTTTCAAAATCTTGGTTGAAGTTGTTATTTATTAAAATTCAAAATTTAAACTGTTCAAATTTAGTCAAATGAAAAGATAGTCAAAATAAAAGTTATAGATAGTAATGTGTTCAACAACTTTTATGTTCATGACTTTCTTTTTTGAAATCATTTAAGGTTTTAAAATCTTGTTTGAAGTTGCCATTTATTAAAATTCAAAATTTAAACTTTTCAAATTTTGTCAAATGAAAATATGACCAAAATATAAGTCGTACATCTTGATGAGTTCTACAACCTTGATGTTTACAAAATTTTCATTTGAGGTCATTTAGTGTCCTAAAATTCTGTTAGTTGTTTTGAAATTCAAATTTTAAAATTTTAAAATATTATTTTTGTAAAGAAGAAAAATATAAAATTATATCTATATATATAATAAAATTGTTTATATATACATATATTTATATATATAGAATAATAGAAAAACTAATATATAAATTTACATTGTGTTCTTTATATATGAATGAATTACAGAATTAGTAATTAAAATAAATTGAAAAATATTTTTAGGGGCGGCTAACTCAGGAACCGCCCCTAAAAATTGATTTGTAGGGATGGCTAACTCAGGAGCCGCCCCTACAAATGCCCTCCAGTATATAAGCCAGAGCCCGCGAGAGGCTGAAAATATTCTAAGTCAGGGCACGATTCTTCCTTTCAGACGCCGTCAAGCGGCCGAATCCACCGCCACCGCCACCGTGCGTGCTTCCTCTCACCTCCGCCGGCCCGTGCGCGCCCGGCCGTGTGCTCTGGCAGTCCTCCCCCATGCTTCCTTGGCTTTGTCTTCCTTGGATCCATTCGCCGCTAGGACCCGCTGCGGAACCCTAGCCATGGGCGACGCCGTTCCCCCCAGCGGCTAGGGTTTCCACCGCCGTGCGCTCCGGTGTCCACGCTCCCTCCATCGGCGGCCCTAGTGCTAGTGCGCCCTGGCATCCCTGCTCTCTCCCCTAGCGGCTCTAGTACCCATGCGCTCCGGTGTCCACGCTCCCTCTCCAAGGCGGCCCTGGTGCCCTAGTGCCCGTGCGCTTTCCCTTCGCCGGCTGCCCCGGTGCCGGTGTGCCCCGACGTCCCTGCAGGTAAGCTCCAACCCCTTTTCCTCCATTCTTGCTCTAAGTTTCTTCAGTCGTCTATCAATCGAACAAATACTTTCAATCACTGATGCAAGTTAGACTTCTATTTAGCTACTAGCCTAGTGTTATGTTGGGTTCATAAACCCAGGGTCCCTCATGGACCTGCTTCCCAGCAAAAGCTCGTCCTAGCAGACGACGTTGCGAACGACGCGCAACTCCTGGGCCGGCCCAAATACCTAATGACAGGCCAGAAGGGCGATCCAATCTTCGACCGGAAGGCCTCGCTTCCAATTCTGGCCCGTCTCTCCGACTGGAAGGCCTCGCTTCTGACTCCGGCTCGCCTCTCTGACCAGAAGGCCTGGCCGAGGAGGAACGAGGCTCGCTTCCGACTTCGGCCCGCCTCTCTGACCAGGGATGCACCGGACCTCTACTTACAGCTCTTCTTTGACTGGCGCAGTTGGAGCCAACTGGGACCAACCGACCGGGGATGCCCGCTCGGTGAGGACCCAAGAAACGAGCGAAGCAAGTAAAGGCAGGACGCTCAAGTCAAACCACAATACCAAGGACCATACCATGTACACCTGCAGCACAGTACCAACAGGGCATGTTAGAAGGGTGCCCTGCCACCTTCCAGGCATGTCAGAGCCCCAGCAGTGTTGTGGGCGCCGACGTTTGCCCTATAGTGTTGTGGGCCCCCTCAACTCCCATACTAGGCGAACACGGTAAAACCCCCCACGTGCCTCTAGGCATCAACAGTATGGTAGGCGCCGGCATCTGCCATACCAGAAGACGACGACGGAACCTCCCACATGCATCTGACGTTAACAGTGTTATGGGCGCCTACAATTATCTTGTACCCGACAGCGTAGGCAACAAGACTTAAAAGCATACGTACTCTCTCTCACTTGTAAAGGCTGTCCCCTTCATCTATAAAAGGGGACACGCTCTCTCCCAAAAAGGGAGAGATAAATCAGTTCACTACACACACACAACGATCGATTCACCCTGTGCTAGCTTTAGACACTCTAAAGCTACATAGAGCACATGCTCGAATACTTAGCGCACGTAGGAGCTCCCGTCACTCTCGGCCCTTCAGTCCGGAGTCCGACCGAACCTCTTGCAACCCCCATCTTTCTCCATTCCATTTGTAACCCCACATCAAACTTTGAGCACTTGGGCTCAGGAATAAAGTCACTGACCGACTCAAACTGGGCGTAGGGCATGTTGCCTGAACCAGTATAAACCCTATGTCATTGAGTGCTAGGCCACATCTGATCATAACGTATGGCAAAACTATAAATATTTACGTGTTGGTCACTTTCTGCACCGACATGTTATATTCAGTGATGCCTGTTCTGGTCACCTTAGGTGCTAGCCTAGTCTACTACCACTATAATTGTACATCATGCTTTGCTCCTATAATTTGCTAGTGATTTTGTTAGCAAGCTTTTGTTCTGGAATTATAGATTAGCTTTTGGCTGTTGTCTATGACTTGTAACTTGCTTGGTGGTCTTAGGAAGAATATCTGAATTGAATATGTATGTATGTCAAAACCTTACTTTGAGTTATTCCTGACAAGGAACATGAGATTATTATGAGTGTACAAGTAATTATATTCAATGTGATATGGATGTGTGCAAAATTAATGGTATTTATGGATCAGTCACTCGGATTTAGTTATATTGAACATGAGGTTATTACAACCTGATATCAGGACAGTGCAAACATTTTGTAATACATTGGGCCCTTATAGAGTCAAGGTATTGTATTTCCGTCAGTTCATAGCATGCATTGTGATTGTTTCTTCCTCAAATATCTTACATGTCTATATTCCCATATTTGGTCAGGGTCATCACCACAATTTGAAAGTCTTCCATTCAAAACTCGATGATAATTGAGGTTTTTTTGGAATTGTTGCAAAATAAACATTATAAGATATGCTCATGGGGCTCTGATATGGTTTTCTTCCAATATTATGACATTAGATTCACTGAGATTGTATTGCTAAATGTTGCTTGATGGATTTGGAAACTCAAATCCTTTGTGTCGACCTTGTTACATTCATTTGCATGTCAGGATGTGTTTGGATAAGATGTGGCTGGATTTTTCTAAGTTTTATACATGATAGGAATTACATTTCAAAAGATTTAATTTGTGCTTGGATTTCTTTTGTACATGATAGAAATAGTGCTACAGCTAGAGCATGATTTTTTACATGATTGAAACATCGTTTGCAGTTTAGTTTTTAGTTCTCGAGGGCAGCAATTGCAAGCAGCCTAACCCAGCATATACAATCAGTCATTGATTTGTCACTGTAGCAATTGCAAGCAGCACGGAACGCTTAAATGTCTCCAGAAGCACGTACAAGCACAACCAGCCAGCGGACTGGTTTCAAACCATTGAAACCGTACAGCAACCCAGCCCAACCCGATGAACAACCCTCCGCACAACACAAAAACCTGACCAACCGAGGAAATTGTCTACCAGTGGGCTGGTTTGGAAAACCGGCCGAAACTGCTTGAACCCGTGAGTGAACAGGCCTACATATAAGTATCCTTCCAATACCTATACGCCTACCCGAATCCGTGCTGCATAGATACTTATATGCCCATCAGCCACAACAACGTGACTTGTTAATATCCTTTTGAAATCTTATGTTATTGTTCTCTTTGACATGACTGGCATCTCATCAGTCATTAGTGTCTCTAATACCAGATTATGAAAATGCTCCTGTTAAGTGGTTTTCTTCATCACCATGGCTTAATAGATACACACAGCTAGCATTTTTAATATTCAGCTGTTTGTATGGATATTTATTCATGGTTTAAGTCACTTCTGGCCTGTTTCGATGAAGTAAATCCTAATTATTTGGTTCAAGTTCAGTTTTATTATGTAAAGTGTATTTAGTTGCAGCGACCAATATTAGCAATTACGTTCAGTTGAGTTCAGTTTTAATGCCTAATTAATAAGTTCAGTTTAGATCAATGTTTCATGGTTTAGTTCCCAATACTTCCAGTGCAAGTGCATGTTCTCAATTGTGCCATCAAAAACTCCTCTTCTGCCTGCAAGTGATCAAAAATGAAGAAAAAAAAGAAAGAAAGAAAGAAAGAAAGAAAGAAAGAAAGAAAGAAACTGATACAAAAATCATTTAAGGACACTAGATCTCATGTCAGTATATAATTGGTCAGGTTATTAAAACAAAGAGGTGCAGTAATGCTTCCAAAAAAATAAGGAATTGTAAGGAATGCAAATAGTTTGTCAATCAATCACTACAAAATTAGAAGAAACCAATATTCCAATGACCCCGAGAAAGGTAATATAGATTACTCCCTCCATTCGTTTCTAACTGATATTTTAGTAATGCAGAAGTCTGCATTTTAGTAGGTGCTACAACTGTTTTATATTTGACCTGCATCTTCATAGAACGTGCATACCTCAATGTGTGCAACATCTATGCGACTCAGTATCTTTGCTCATCAGCAACTAAGAATAAAAAAATGAAGGGTTGAAGAGACATGCAATCTGAGACAACAACAGACTAAAAATGTAACAGGACATATGTGTCCTTAGGTGACTGTTTCCCAGTAACTGTGCAAAAATCCAACACTAAAAGAAAAACACACACACATAAAGGAATTACCGAGGAGCAGAAATGCCTTCATCCTTAGACCAAGTTTTCGAAACATGAACCTCTCTTCATCCGTTATTGTTTCAGGTCTGGAATCTTCAGTTGGCCTCAGGGTTGTCTCAACCTTTCCTAGTACCCCTTCAGCTTTCTCCATCTTTTTCTGTGCCTGTACATAAATAAAGTGAAATTGGTTGGATTAAAATCATATAACTAGCATCTTCTAATGATACAAATTTTTTTGTTTAGTTTCAGGTTCAAGTTCAGTATTTTTCAGTTAAGTTTCTAGTTCAGTATAGTTATCAGTTTAGTTTAAGTTTCTGGTTCAGTATAGTTATCAGTTTAGTTTTTAGTTGATTCTAGTTTTGTTTGATTTAACTTTTTGAGATTGAGTTCATGTTTCATAGTACCTAGACTTTAGTTTTAGTTTCAGTTTCAGTTACTTATCAGTTCAATTTTTAGTTTACTCTACTTTTATTTTAGTTAAGTTTTTTCAGTTAGAGTTGAGGTTTCAGAGTATCTAGACTTAGTTTCAGGTTCATTACCGTTATTAGTTCAGATTTTAATTAACTTTAATTGTTTTGGTTAAGTTTTTAAGTTGCAGTTCAGTTTGTTTTATTATGTCATCTTAATTGTATATTCAGTATAAGTGTTGTATTTTCTCTCAATCCACAGTATAAGTTTCTTAAAAGTAGCTTCAGTATATATTCAGTAAAAGTTTCGCTCAATCTAATTTCAGTATATATTTTGCACCTGCAGTTTCTAGATTCTCTGTACTCTATGTAACAGAACCGCCTAATTTATACAAGATCAAGTACGGCTGTCTCCGCTAACACGTTGACATGCGCATACTTTCACTCATATAAACCCGGTAATCCGCCGAGTGTCCCGAAAGACCTTGGTAAATCAACATCACAACCAAGATCGCGTGATTAAGCAAATACACATCACATACACAGGGTTGCAGCGGAAATAATATTACAAATGGGTTCACAATTAAAAGTACAAGTTTGGGTTTCAAAATCGATTAGTGAAAACAACATAACTTTCAAAAGATTACATTAATATATGTTCCAAATACATTGCTAGCATAAGTGACATCATCCGACAAAAGCATATAGATAAGAAGTAACTATAGAATCACCGAGCCCATCGGCGGTTAGCCACCATCTTCAACAGGCCGAGAACTTCACCTGCAACATGGTGGGATAAACCCTGAGTACGAGAAGGTACTCAGCTAGACTTACCCGTCGGAAACTAAAACAATTGACACTAAGGGTCATGCAAGGCTTATGAGGTGGGCTAGCTTGACACTGTTGCATAAAAGAGCTTATGAATATAGTGACCAATTTAAACTTAACATCAAGTTTATCATCATTTACCTGTCCACTAGATTAGCACCTGTACTAGAGCACTCACTTATTAGGAGCAAACAATATTAACCATAGCAGGTATAATAAGGCTGTCATCATCATATCATCATTTCTGAATCATTAGGTTATTTAGTGTATCTACTTTGGAGATAAGCCCGTCAAGCTCTCACTAACCGGGAGAGACGGCGACTCGAATCGAATTACAACTCAGCTGAGGGGGTATTCCTAACTCTCACCCTGGCATACTTTGCAAGGGTAGCCGTGGGTCAACTTTGGGACAACTCAGGAACCAAATTCGCGGGTTCGATCAGCGCCAGCACTATCAGGGATTACCCTTCTGCCAAGACGATCAATACTTTTAAATCACCTGCCCTTGGACTCACGCCTACGGCTCCCTTCCGAGGCGCACTTTATACTTATCGACTCCCGGCCTGAGGTGAGCTACTCAGCTTCGTGGTCGGTCTCCAGACCCGGCCAACTAAGAGAGAGGCATGCGTTCAACATGAACAGGAAAGGCTCCAAGATTTAGTCCTTAAGCGACACAGACGGAGTCACTACAAACCGTAAGCCTCCGCCCGGTCTTCATTTCAAATTAAGACATGTTCTTTTCCATGATAGCAAATATAGCCAACCGTGCCATATGTATGTCCCTATATCTCGCAGGTGACAGGAAATCACCCGACTTCTACCACGTTTAAGCAGGGCTAAGCACTACACGAACCTGAGCTACATAGGATTCAGGGTATCAATATCTGGACAAGGATTTGGATAACCAATGCAGCAAGTGTTTGCATCCAACACCTAAACTTAATGCAACAATATATATATGTCACAATAATACTGTAACTGCATTTCGAAAATTAGGAGGCTTAATATGCTCTAGGGCTTGCCTGGGATCCGACACAAGTCAGTTCAGTTAGCTTGCACCGTCTTGGTGACACCTTCGGTCATGGCACTTGCTTAGTCCTTCCATCTTTGGTATAGATCCATCAAACGCTGTCTTCGGGTTTGGCTCCAACATCACATCCTTCACGTGGTGCATCTAGCGCACCTAGATGAGATGCAATATGCAAGTATATGAATACATGGAAGTGCAATAGACAATGCATCGCATGCAGTAAGTAAGATAAGCACAAGGTTACATTAACATGCACAAGCACTTCGCATTGCCTACTTTAAATATCGCACAATTTATCATCCCACGATAGCAAAGAAGACGACAACACCAAGCATGACACAAGTTTCCCAAGATCTCAGATGCTCTAACTCAGTCATCATTCAAGGCATAAGTCACACTTAACAATATACAAGCAAACACTATAATTAGAATCTACCAATTTCTGGACATGCAAACAGCAGCTACAAGATTGAGCTATAACTGGAGTTATACAAATCCAAATGACTTCCAAGACATTTTGGAAAGCTTATGAAATTATCTACATTTAATCTATAACCATCATAGCATGATTCCTAAGTTAAGTAGGTCGAAATTATACATTGACAGAAACTGGTCCATACAAAATAGAGAGCAACAAATCATGTATTCTAACTTTAAACAGTTGTAACTCAAACACTACTCAGCCAAATGATACCAAATTTTAACAAAAGCTAGATACATAAATTATCTACAACTTTTGTATAAACAAGTTTCACAACAAAGCACCTTATCCTGAAGAACTTTGCCAAGTTCCCAGATCTGTCCATAAACCACATCGACAAGAAAATAATTATTAACTTATGTTGCAAATTCATAATTGGGCAAAACCAACTTTACCAACATTTCACACATGACTAAAGAACACCAAAAAGCATGGTGCTCACCTCTAAATAAATTTTCTTAAAGCATTTCTTAATTTATTTAGACATCAAGGTGTATTTATGAACATATACCAAAAATGCACAATAAATTCTACAAAAATTATAGTAGCTCACATATCCTCTCAATAGTCTACTTTACAAATTTCATATCATTTTCATAAGTATAGCTGCCTCTACGAAAAAGAGAATTTGCTATTGCAAGAACTCATGTGAGCAAGATAAATCAATAACTCACTGATACTTCATCCAATACTCATGAAATTTTTACCACACATCAACTATCACATGAGTAGCATGACACAAAAATTTCACTTCATTTGGAGCCCTAGATCTGCAGTTATGGAAAATAACAAATTTAACTAGCATTACAACCTTACTACACAAATCTATTTTTACCGCAAAATATTGAAACTAAAACATGCCATATTATAGATCTAATGCATAGAGAATTTCACAAGGATTCCAAAAAGTCCTCATTTACTATTTTACGAATTTTCTATGATTTATTATGATTTTCCCAAGTTCAGCAAATTTACTGCAAATAGGTCCTTATCGGCACTATTCATTTGAGTCTATGGTTCTGCAGAAAACCCCCTGGACTTGCTCTAATTGTTGCACGAAGTCCCTCACCGGGGCAAAACAGAGGAGGCGGAGGGGGATTCGCCGGTGCCGGCCAAGGGAGGCTCGCCGGCGGCGGGGGAGTGGAGGCGGAGCACCAGGAGGCCTGCACGCTCCCGTGGGTAGCCTTGACTCGGCCCGAGGTGGTCCGTAGTGGCCTGGCCACATGAGCACGGCGGGTCGGGGCTGCGGCCACGACGACAACTGTGGACGATGGCGCTGGAACTTGGAGAAGTGACAAGCCAAGCGGAGGACGGGTGTCGGCGCGATAGTGGTGATGATGACGTCGAGGAGCAACGGACGGTAGTAATAAATGGTGAGGCCGAGCTCGGTGGCCGCAATGGCGGTGGCGGTGGTGCCGATGGTTCACAACAAGACGTGGGTGAGAATGGCGGTGGCGCGAGGCGGCTGCGAGGCCAGGAGGCCGAGCTAGTGGCGGCTCCTGGCTTGAGGCGTGCAGCACCGCAGCGGCAGCATGAGCTCGAGTTCCGCTCGACCATGGCGGCCACGGTGTTGGGCGCGAGCGGCAGCGCGAGAGAGGGAGGCGAGGGCCGCTCGGGCGCGCGGTTATGGAGGAGCAAGAGCACGACAGGAGGCAGGGCACGCGGTCAGCGGCAAGGCAATGGTGGAGGCGAGCTCCGCATGGCTGCCACGCCACGACGGGCACGCGTTGCCCCTTTTGAGGCATTTTATCGAGCACGTGGCGGGCGACGGTATGGTCGACGTGGGGAGTCAATTTGGGCTGCTTCCAGGCTGAATTTAGCAATGGGCCCAAAACGAAGTTTGCTCACCTTGGTCAGCTCTAAATTTCTTATTAAGGGTGCCAAGTCATTTGAGCAACAGATCAGTAGTTAATTAAGCCTTAATATGATAGTGTCAACATGTTGATAACGTTCACGGGAATTCGCTTTAGGAGGTCAAAACTTGGTCAAACTCAGTGCAACTTTTTGCATGCTCTTCTTCATAATATAACCTTCAACTTTTATTTTGGACCAACTCAAGTTGCTTAACGAAAATACGAGAACGCGGAATGCCAATGGCGACGACGATGAATTCCAGACTTAGAAAAATTCTAAGTCTGAAAACAGCCGCTGATTCAATTTTCAAGCCTCTGTTTGACTTAGTTCCAAGTTGATCTGGCTCTTGTTCCAAAAACAAAGTTTGTTCTACATGATATGGACTACAACTTTCATTTAAGGTCCAACCTCAAAACTGGTATAGAACCTACTGTTCTACTTTTACCAAAGTAGGATCACGATGAAGCTTAAATTATCCTTTTTGATCCATTGGAGTATTTTTTGGCCACCTGCTCAACATGAACCCTTCATAACTTTTGTTCATGAGTGCA